TGAAGCTGAATTCAGTTAAGTGTTCATTCAGTATCTCCTCCAAGAAGTCCCTTAGTTACATGGTTACTCAACGTGACAATAAGGCCAACCCTGATCAGATTTATGTGGTGCTCCCCTTACCTACTTGTATCAAGGATGTCCAACGTCTCATTGGAGGGGTAGCTGCATTGAGCTGATTCATTTCCAAGTCAGCCGAGAAGTGCCACCCCTTTTTTGCCTCCCTTAGAAAATCCAGGAAGTTTGAATGGACTAAGAAGCATTGGCACAACTCAAAAAGTACTTGACTTCGCCTCCATTACTCTCCAAGCCAAAAACTAAGAGAACGACTCTTCACCTACTTAGCCATACCTGATTCAGCCAACTCAGCCGTACTGATCCATGAAGAAGAAGGAAAGCAGCTACCTGTCTACAACACCAGCAAGTCCCTACTTGACGCCCAAACTCGCTACAACCAACGTGAGAAGCTTGCATTCGCTTTGATCACCGCCTCAAGGAAGTTAAGGTCGTACTTCCAATGCCACCCGATCATGGTCTTGACTTCTTTTTCCCTTAAGAAGATCCTCCATAAACCAAAGCTCTCGGGTCGAGTCATTCAATGGACAATGGAGTTGAACGAGTTCGACGTTTCTTTCCAACCACGCACCACCATCAAGTCTCAAGTGTTAGCTGACTTCATTGCTGACTTCATACCTAACACTTCAATTCAAGCGGAGAAAGAGCTTTTATGCTTGACAGATCAGGCGTCATCCAGGTGGCCCTCTTGATAGATAGCTTAAGCAATATCAATGGCAGTGGATTAGGACTTGCCCTCACTTATCCATTCGGTGCGGCTTCAAGGCAACTAACAACGAAGCCGAATATGAAGCATTGATAGTCGGTCTCTCTCTTGCAAAGGAATTAAGGGTCAAGAAACCTGAAGTCAAGTCTTATTCATAATTGGTCGTGAATCAGCTCCAAGGCTCCTACCAGGCTGGAGACTCCAAGATGACCACCTACCTCAACTTAGCCATGGAACTCCAATTAGCATTTGAAGAATCACCATAACCCAAGTCCTAATGATCGAGATGTGATAATATTGTAATTTGGTCCTCATTTGTTTACCTAGGAAAGACCAGATATGCTAATGGGTTCTCCATATTTCTTTTATTTCTGTCTAACTCTCATAAAATTGTTAACAATATTTTAATTATTTAATAAAATTATTTTATTTCAATATTGGTTCATTTTAGATATTGATCAAACAATTTTATGAATAACTACATCTAAATAAAATGACTGCAAAGCAAAGAAACAAATGGAATATCAGGAGAGTTGTTTACTATTGATAGAGGTGTCATACTTTCTTGAACTTCAAATGGAAGTAGCCACCAATAAACTTCCGTTGAAAGAGAAAAATCTCAAGACAAGGAATTAAACAACCATTACAATAACAACAGCAAATCAATTGTATTTTACATATTGCACAAGGAAATTGATGAACAACTGCAAGTAATACTTCATCTCTACTAGCATTACCTAGACAATACAAGAATCACACATTGCTAGATATCGCCACCAATACTCTACCATTCACAAGAAAAAAGTACATAAAATCTTGGAATCACCTGGTTTATTCATGTGGATGACAATTTAATGATGATGTTCTCACAATCCAAGATGCATCTTCTATTCGTGATAATAGAAAAAACATAAGCCTTAGTTATTTATAGGATAACAAAAAATCATACTTCACTTGATATTCGGTTCTAAAGTGTTAAAATGCGTTAGAAATTCATCAACTAGTCACCAGTATCCGAAAGTAAATGTCAGTTTCTTGTAACTGGAGAATTTTTCACCATGTTACAATAACAAAATTGATATTAAAATTATCTATCTCTAAAGGATCTATCTGTCCATATAATTTTAAACTAAAAGAATGATTGTGTTTGGCTGGAATCTAACTAGTAAGCGGCCACCCAATCTCTCTCCGTCAGATCCCAGCCAAACAGTGCATATATTGCTAAAAATAATTGTATAGATAGATAGATCGTTAAAATTGAATTATTTTAGAAAAAAAAAAAAATCAGATTTTAGAAGTAAATTACAAAATTATACTTTTTCTATTAATTGAAAAGTCAAAACACACCCTAAGTCATTGCCATGAAAAAAATTATAAGATTTTCCTTTTATAGTTTGATAAAAGATAAGTCTTATGTAATTTAAATGGAATACCTATTGTTCACGGATAAGAGGACTTGACCCTTTGCTCCACTTCTTCAATATATTGCTCAAAATGCATAGGCAAGACATCCGAGAGATATTAAATAGGTAACTGAACTTCTTTTCTTGCTTTCATAAATCTGACACAGACTTTAGGTATATGTGGGGTAACTTTCTTCCACTTCTCGTCTTTTATCATATACCAAATTTCTTTCAACATAAGACAAAACAAAAGATACTTAAGTTTTCTTAGATGCTCAATTCCAATTAGATACTTAAGTCTTCTAGGTTAGGCATTGCAACTTGGTCTATAATCATCAATTCCACTCCTTTAAAGTAAAAAAGGAACAATTTTTTTAGTTTTGGAAACCAACCTTCTTTGAAATGTAATTGCTCATCATGGCATGTGTCCCATAGCCTAAGCTCCAACAAATTAGGCAGGGCTTGAAGGACTCTTATGGGATCATCAGTTGATCCTAGGGGTGTCCACGAGCCGAGCTACTCGAGCTCGGCTCGACACGAGCCGTGGCTTGGCTCAAAAAATTCGAGCCGATCTCAAGCCCGAGTGGCTCGTATATTATACGAGCCGAGTACCGAGCCTAGGGGTACTCAACTCGAAAGTTCGCGAGCTTTTTGGGGATCGCGAGCCCAAACGAGCTTTTTGAGATCGTTTGGGCTCGTGAGCCTTTAAGTGCGCGCGAATTTTAAAACCCACATTTAAACCATAGTTTATTTTTAACATAACCCATTAACCCCTTGTCAGTTGTCACTTGTCACTCCTAAAACCAAAAAGCTATCACTTTCCATCTCCATTCACAGTTCACACTCCATAACCAGAACAGCTACCATTCACACTCTATTTTTCCAACTAGAAATCATGCTCCGCCGCCCACGACCACGAACTCACCATGTTAAACCAAACCCATAACACCCATTCGCCGTCTAAAGACTCCAAACCCATAACACCCATTCGCCATCTAAAGACTCCAAACCCAAACACCAAAACCACGCTTCGCCGCTCCACGACCACTACCATGTCGTGGCACCCAAACCCATAACACCCATTCACCATCTAAACCCATAATAAAGACTCCAAAGTCTAACCCAAACACCGTATCACAACTCCACAGTGCCACGACCACAGCCTTGCGCCCTTGTTGAACTTTGTTTGCTGGCTAGAAACCCAAACTCATGAGTGTGTTTCCAGACTTTCCACAAACTCGTGAGTTTCTCTTTTAGTCTTTTGTTTGTCATTTTTGTTTTTGGTATTCTGGGCATTCCTTTGGCCATTTATATTACAGTTCCTTTGCCCATTTGTTTTGTCTACACGTGCTTCATGTGAATGATATATTGATATGTTATTTGTCTACATGTGCTTCATGTGAATGTGATCAGTGCGTGACTGCGTGTTAAGTAAAAAATGTTGACATGGTCAACAAACTGAAACACCATGTGAATATGTGATAAGCATAAGTGTAGATGAATAAAAAAGAACCCGTAGGCCCCTCTTTGCCAACCTTAAATTGTGTGACCAAGGATCACTTTTTCTGCCAACACCATGTGCCATTTACTTTTGTTTATATATATACTTATACTTTAAGAACTGTTGACTTAAATATGTTTTATACTTTTATGTATTTGGAACTTTTGACTTAAATATGTTTTACACTTTTATGTATTTGTTTAGATATGACATCCACTTCTAGTCCCGGGATTTCTGAACCCACTACCACTCCAATAGAGATCTTCTCTTCAGCATTGCAGCGTACAGAAGACACAAGCAGCACTCCAAATGAAAGCAGACCTACCACTGAAACAACCGCAACTGATGTTAATAAAGAGGCTGATGTTAACCCATTTGCAAGAAAAAAAAAGAGCAAAAACATTTGTGGTTTGGAATGATTTTAAGGAGGTGATTCTACCTGACAATACCAAAAAGACTGAGTGCATCCATTGCAAGGCAAAACTTGCAATAACGGTTAGTGGGAGCACTACTCACCTTTCAAGACATTTGAATAGTTGTGTAAGGCGAATTCTTTTCCAAAAGCAACAACAAAGGTTTTTCCAGGCGCAAGCAGGAGATATGGGTACAAGTGGTGTAACTGATAATCTTGTCCCTATTCTTACCATTGGGAAATTTGAAATGGTTAATATGAGAGAACTAGTTGCCAATTGGGTGCTTATGCATGAGCATCCATTTACTGTTGTTGAGGAGGAGGGATTTAATGATATGCAGAGATATGCGATCCCTCAATGGNAACATTTTCTAGAGGCAGGGGGAAATTGTGGTTTTCATCGAACACAGGCCTACTGCAGTCCTACTGGTGGATAGTGATTTTGATTGGTGGATTGTATATGTACTCCTAAGAATGTTATTTGTATATATTCAGAACTGTTTTTTGATTTTGTAAGGTAATAGACATTTTGTAATGCTCGGAACTGTCATGGTTAATTCAACATTGGATGTTAATATGAAATGTTGTACGCAGGCAGATTGTTGTAAAAAAGGGGAACTTGGCTCGATCAAACACGGATAAATGGTGGTTTGATCGAGCTCGAGTCTCAATTTTGAGGCTCGTCAGGCTCGAGCTCGAACTCGAGCTCGACATTGTTGTAAACGAGCCGAGCTCGATAATTCAAAAGCTCGGCTCGTTTACACCCCTATTTCTCCCCAGTGTGGCGAGTAGATCATTCTCTTCCATTTTGTCCATCTCTCCATGAGTAGACCATGTCACATGGTCAAATTCTTGTATTGTTTTCCTTAGTATGTCTATTTTGGTGCATTCTTTCCCAACTGTAATCTAAGCCTGGTAATCAAAATGCTTCTTCACTATATTATTGTTATAAATTTTCCCGGCAAGAATGGTCCTGCCAAGTCCTCCTTCGCCCACAACTACAACCACTGAACGGTTGGATGTTCCACTTACCAACAAACCAATCAATTGTTCTCTGATAGATTCGATGCCCACAACTTCATCGCCTTGGATGAAAAAGGAACCAACTCGAGAGTCGTGCAATATAACATCTCCTTGATCTATGTGCCTCAAGTTATAGTATTCCGCTCTTCTCTGTATATCAGCAAGTGATGATTTGATATCTTTAATCTTAGATGAAATTTCATGACACACCTTAAGTTCCTTCATGAAGCAACACATTTTACGAAGGAAACCAGTGAGACCTTTGCCATCATGCTCATGATGCTTTGCCTTATTAAGTACATACTCATCTATGACGTCTTCAATGTGATAAGCTTCTTCTCTTACTTGTTTTACCCAAGTACTCATGCCACCTCCATTGCTTTCTCCTTCTTCTTCGGCTGCTGCCCTTGTATCTGCATCCTTGAGGAAAGATCTGATGATCTCCAATTCTCTTTTGATGCTTTCAACTTCTTTCTTTACACTTCTTAACAACTTGGTTTCTTGGACAAGCAAGGAACCCAAGTATAGAAAAGTTCACTGTAAACTCTGCCATATCTCATATCTCACTTATTTTTCTTGTTACTCACTGCATTGATATCAAATGTTTCTAAAATTTATGTTTCGCTATTAATAGGGAAATCACAATATGATTTATTAAATTTATTTAAAATTTTCTATCAATATATGAATTTTTTTTCTTCATATTATCAAGGTTTGCTTAATAAAATTTTAAAAAAGCATGTATCCCTATGTCCTAAACTAAAAACACAATTAATAATCTAATCCAGCATAAATTAATAACTAGCTAATCTATTTCTACAATACTTATAATAGAATGCATTCAGTAACTAACTTGCAGTCAGTTTTGCAACAAATTAATTGTAAAATATCTTATTCAAAACTACAATGATTTTGTTATGAAATTCATATAACTACCAAAGAAACTAACTTTAATTGATTAGATGATATTTGAATGTGATCTAAGAAAATAGAACGTGGTTCTTCTTTGTTTATAGAAGCCTGTCAATTCAATAAAAATAAAAATAAAAAGTTAAAACTTAATTACATTTTCAGAATAAAAGAAAAGATAACAAACAAACAAAAAAATTTGCATAAACAACAGAAAACTGACACCTTCAAAATTGTCTGAGCCACCAAACAAAATTCAAACTATCAGCTGTTTAACTTAGAATTGTAGCTGAGACAAGAAGTCAAATTGTTAAAGTTTACAAAAAGGAGAAAAATGAGATTTTATTAAATAAAATTTGTTCATACCATTCTTTGAATTGAACCGAGGCATGAAAGCTACTCAACTGAGTCCTGGAGGCCTTATCTTCTCTTTTCTAGTTTTAGTTTCATAATCTTCTAGACACACTCTAAACTTGGCAACCTTTTAGAGGACTTCCTTCCCCTCCTTTTTTTTTTTTTTTTTTTTAAATAATTACCTAACAATCTCTAGATATTTATAATTAATTAACTCTAATGACTTCAATTATTACAAAGCAAAGTGCTAAGAGTCAAAAATAGGTATCCTTCTCATCAATAAAATGTCGTTTCATTAATTCCGTTGTTAATGATTATTTTTGGTGTGTCCATTTCAAGATGTTGGATCTTCATGATCTTGTTAATTGTTTTATGAAGGAGTGGAGTGTTTGCAATGTATTTTTACTCTTTATTAACTATGAAAAGATTTGTATAATTATGGTTTTACTCTTTTTATTTTTAGACCTGATATTTTTATTTACAAGAATATATATAATTTCTTTAAAATTAAATATTTGTTGATTTTATCTATCAATAATATAACATATATATTAACATTTTCATATACACAACAATATATTTATAAGAATTAAGTATTTATTTTCTCAACTTATCTAACATAATATAATGTTAAAAATACAAATTCATAAAATAAATTAAGATCAGTAAAAGTCAACAGTGATGGAAACCAATCAGATATTGCTTGTGATACTGTAGTGGAATCTAGTAGTAACCATAAAAAGAAAAAAGAAAAATAGACAGAATTTATGGATGGTGACAAACTTCAATGAACATATAATTTTTATTTTTTTTTTTTTTTTTGTTGATTATCGTAATAAATATATTATTAAAGGATAANAAGGAGCAACTGAATTACAATATATCTGTTATTTTTATTTCTATTTTAGGGCCCCGAGATGCCGTCAAAACTACTTTTAATGAAAATTAATTAAATAAACATTTTGCCAGCTCAACTCTTTTGTTTCTCATCTCACCTAGTTTTCTTAATTAAATTCAGTTTAACCTTAAATTTTATCTGTTAATATTGGGTTTAACATTTAATTTTCTCACTTTAAAATATTATAGAAGAGAGTTTTGCTCAACGCTGGCCGGAATCTGCTACACGTGACCAAAAACTCTGAGGTCTATAACCAATAATATTAACAGATTCGAATCTGAGACCGCAAAGAGAGTAAACCGTTCTTGGTTCTGAAAGTCTTTTTCATTCTTCCAATTTTGCTACTTGTATTTGGTATTTGAGTGTGCAAGCACAAAAGCACTTTTGAGAAAAAGAAAGCAAACACGGCACTATTGTCGAGTCAGCGCAAACACTTCATTTTTTGTTTCTATTTGCAATAATAAAGTAATAATGATAATAATAATAACTTTGATCCTAAGAGGAATTAAATCTTTAGATGCTCTTCAAGTTGGCCTTAAGATAAACTAGAATAAGTTCCAAATTAGCTTCATTGGTGATTTCAATTAACTTCCCTCTTTTTGACTAATTCATTAAAGGTGGTTTAATTTTTGATCTGAAAATAATCTCACGATTCAAAATTTTGAATTTGTTTTTCTTAATATTCATAATAAAAATATTAAAATAGTTTTTGGTCGTTTTTTCATCATGCACTAGTTTTTAGCATTATATTTAAAAATAGATTTATGAGACATTTCAACTTTTTTTTTTTTTTAATCAAGGTGTTCAAATTAGTTTACGCACATCTTAACTAATTCTCATGAAAGACTAGCATAGTGACCTACCGTCACAACCCCCCACTTAAATCGCAGATACTCATATGAGGAATCAAACCTGAGCCAAGAGACATCTTAACTTATTTCTATCAAACATTTTTTTTAAATATATTTAAAGTCCATATCATACATGATTTCATATTTTGAGTTAATTTTTCGGAATTTGATATGTTGTCAAGACTTTTTAGAGTGTCTCGATAACTTTTTTGAGTTATCGATAACGTATAGATATGATATCGTAATGTTATGAAAAATTAAATAAAATTAATTTATAAGCAATAGTAGAAGCTAAGACTTTGCTTTGAATGCAACTCATCTAATGATAATAACATCTTGATTTATTTATTTATNGCCAATAATATTCCCTTGGAGAAAATAACAAAACTTTTTACCTAATTTCTTATAATAAAGTCAATTTTGAACTTATTATTTTATGTTATCGTATTTCTAAATTATTTATTCTCTACTATTTATTATTTATTATGTGTCACGATAAATTTAATATTTATTTTTATGTATCATTATTTATGTTATGATGATTAATTAATAGCTTAAAACTTTATCTTAAATTGTTTATGAAATAAGTGAAGCATGCATAACCCTGTCAACATTGAACAATACTATATTAAGGTAAACTACCAATCAATTAGTTGCCATTAATTGGATAATATTATTAATTCAAAATTTGTTTGCTATAATAAGAGATTAATTATTCCTAATCTTTATTTGAAATTAGCAACAAAAAAAAAAAAATTACATAAAATTGACCAAGACTTTGAATAGAAATTTTAAATAAGTATTTTTTACGTGTAATATTTCTTCAATTAAGAACAAAATTACCTTTTTTTTTTTTTAATAATAGATTTATAACAACAAACTTTAAACTTGAAATAGTCGACAAAGGAAAATAGTAAACAATAGTTGGTATCTTTGTTTAAATGCTGACTAACATAAACTTTATCGAAAAAGTAACTATAAACTCATAATATTTAAGCAATTGGTTTGTGCAAGGATGGTCTAATCTATTCTTCATCGTCGACTATGAAGAACAACTCCTAAGAACTCATGCACTCTCCTTTCACTGGCACCTCCCTCCTAAAATATCATATACAACATTGCCAATGTGTCAAGACGAAACACACTTGACGTCTCAACTGTCACACCCCATGTAAATGCTTTGCGAAACCCTTCAACCTCATACACTCTCTACACTTTCTGCTTTTGTCACGACATTAAGGAATAAGATCGTGACATTCTCCCACACCATTTGTATGCATACCCTTAGGGCATCTCCAACCCAACGTCATTTTGGTGTAAAAACACAAAAATGGAATGAAAGATGACCTCCAAGCCAGCGTCAAACATTACACCAATTTGGTATAAATGCATAGTGTCATGCCAAATTTGGTGTAGCACTGTTAAATTTGGCGTGGCACTGTTCAAATAATATAATTTTTTTTTATTTGTATTTATGTTAATTTGATTATTATTTATAATAATAAATTCATAATAATTATATAATTCAAAAAATGATGAAAAATTAAAAACAAAACTTTATTCAATGCAAATATTAAACTACAATAACTCAAAATAAAAATTAACACTAATTTAAAAACACGAAAATTAAAAAAAAAATACAACATAAACTAAAATAATAATTTAGTATCCCGATAGATTATTTATAATTTATCGGAATAATATATATATATTGGTGGCATTTTATATTAGATGTAATATTTTTTTTATATTAAATATAATGTTTATTTGATTAAATACATGTTTAATTTTATTAAATTAGTATAATTTTTAAAGTAATATATATATAATTAATGAAATAGATTAATTATTGATTATTAATAAAAAAAATATTCTAAAAAATATTATTTTTAATGTAACATTTAATACAATAGATTAAAAATGTAATAATGTTTTACACATAAAGTTACATTAATTTGATATCAAACTTGCAGCAATTTGATATGTATGGTTGAAAATGATTTTTTGCATATCATTCTTGAAAACGTCCGCCGAACAAATGTCAAAGTTTTCGTGCCCGTGGTCACAGATAGACAGTGTAATGGTAAACAATCGCATACAAGTAACACTCATGGACGTCATCATGCAACAGAGTGGTGTGGCGGGTAAAGTTTTTCAGAAACAGAATTATAAAAGAAATGTGGGAGAATTGTAGCACTTGAAGGAAACAGCTACTCATCTGAGAGAAGGTAGCAACTGAATTTACAATATATCTGTTATTTATTTCTACTTTTAGGCCCACGCATGCCGTCAAACTTACTTTTAATGAAATATTAAAAACCTGTATGCCACTCTCAACCTTTTGTTTCCCTCCACCTAGTTTTCTTAATTAAAATTCAGTTGAAACCTTAATTTTATATCTGTTAATATTGGGTTTTAACATTAATTTTCTCACTTTAAAAATAGTGATATAAGAGAGTGTTTGCTCCGCTGCCGGAATCTGCTCACG